TAAAAATGAATTCAAGTTTGGCCAAATCAACGCTCAAATCGCGCTTTGAGTGGCACTCGAAATATACAATTCTGCCAATTTTGAATCCTAGCAAAATCGAACAGCTTTACATTTATATATGTATTTTTATTTGTTATACATATACTTTGTATTTACGTATACATACATATGAAGTCTTTTTATTCGGAACAAAAACACGAACATGTTCAACAATATTTATGCCAGTCGCACTTTACATGAATTCTCCATATTTGTTTTAAGCTTTCCTGTGTTAGCCCAAATGCAAATATCCAAATTGATTTCGCTTGTTTAGATGCTTGCCAAATTGAATGGTGGCTAAATTAGTTTCAATAACTTTTCAAATTTTATTAAGCACGAATAAGCCAAAAAGGTCAAGCTCTCGTGGTCGATTTGTATTTAATAATCTAATTTATCGAAAGATTTCCAGGGCCATCAAAGCCGCAAAAAGGGAAACCAACAATTCAAATGCAATTCCAATTAGAACAGGAAACGCAATCAGATAGTATGTCAGAAAGAGAGCACGGATTTGCATTTAGACTTCAGCACAAAGCCACGTGTTGGGAAGGTTAAATTTTTCCCCTGAGCACGCGGTATTTGAAGTGACATTAACTCGAAACCTGTTAAATATTCGCCCTGCTCGACTGTCACATTGAAAAATCTTAACCAGGCATCCTGCATCCACCATAGAAAATTTATGTAGCGAAACTTTTTTCAGCATTTTCTCCTCTACTTTCTTTTTTTACCTCCCCTTGGCAGCACTTGGAATTTAGGCCAAAACACTTTTGAAGCTTGCAACATGGCGCAGATGTGGGTTGCAAGTTTACAAATTTTCAAGAGCTGCAGAATCGTGTAAAGTTGGACGAAATGTGACATAAATGATTTTCGTTGGTGGTCGTCGGTGATAAAGTTTACAAAGTATTTAAGCAAGTTTTGTATCTGTTTTCTACTACAATTACCAAATTGTAGAATTTATTTACCTAAATTACTAGTGCAAACTAATCATGTAAATTCAGTTTGGGAATCTCGTTATTCATGCTGATATCTCTGTTAAACAAATTTCGAAAATTGAAGGCAGCCTGTCTGACTCAAAGTTGAAATTTAATAACATGTGCAGTTGCTTACCCATTTGACATTTTTCACATAATTGATGTAAAATGTGCATAACTTATTTTAAAATTAAATCGGCGGCATTTGCCGTAAACCTAATTTAAATAATTTCCATTACGGGCATAGTTGGCGTTCCCACTCGATGTTCTGCGAAAGCCCAGACTTGCATATAAAACATGAAATTAATGCTTAATTAAGCAAGTTTCTACCTCCACACGTTACACACAAAAGGAATGTGTGTGTGTGTGTATCTTAACTCGATTATTTCTCTAAAGAAGAGGGCACTAAGAAGTTTTCCTCGCCATAAACTTAAATTCTGATTTTCATAATTTATACTCAAGCTCAGCCGGAGGCCATGCTACAATTTGCGCAGCATTTAACCAGGGTTGCTCCCTTTTAGGGTTGCCATGCCGGCTTTTGTTTCATGGCAGCCAGATGGAGTTTATCACCCAGAGCTGTGAAAAGTTTTTATATGGGAACAGGTTCTTGTTTGACATCGCAAAGGAAGTTTTTATCGCAACAAAAGTTGACAATACTAAATAGAGAGGGAATAGATGTCAACTGCTGTAACTTTAAGTTTGAAAAACTACACCTGCGTTGTTTTCACTATACAAGCAAAAAAGAGTAAACCAGTGAAGATAAGGAGAAAAAAAGGGGTATATAACCACAAATATCTCAGGTTGTATATACTTACTTATAAAGAACTGACACGAATGCAAAAAGTCTATCAGAGTCCCGATCCCAATATTGTAAGAGGTTTCTTAAACTTTACTATCTTCTCTACCCTTCTTGGTTGTGTTAAAGTTATTTTTAACTTTTACGCATAATATTATTAATTAACACATTTCTGTACTATTTTTTATTGTCACCACCAATTTTCTGAGAGTTTTTTTCTTGCATGCGACTTTCCATTTTTCATGCAGTGCATAAATTTCATGCCATTTCCCTTTTACCACATTTTTCTTGGGGATGTGTGTGTGTCGGAATGTCAAAGCCTTCTGCTCTTACCCTTTAACCCATTGTGGCACCCCCTCAACCATTATCCTTTGGGGAGCTATTCCAATGCAAAAAGGACTGCATACATTTTTGGGCAAAACAATGCGCTTGGAAATTTCTAAAACAAACACACACTAGCTCTCCCCCTTTCTATCCGTATATACCCCTCTCTTTCAGTTATTCCATGTCAAATCGTGCGTATTTATTCACAAGCGGTAGGGGTAAAATGAAAACTCATTTTGGTTTCTTTGGGTTTTTTGGGGATAAGGAGAATTCTAATTGTTACGAGCGTTTTCCTGTTGGACCTGGCGCGAGTCCTAAACAAAAAAAAAAAGAAACCAACAACCCAACCCTTTGAATAGTTTTCATCTCTCCAAAAATGCATTCTCTCAGTCTGCAGGGACTCTCCCAATTCTCAAAATCTCTCTATTGCGAGGGCGCATGCTCAACAAACTGTTCGAGTTTCATTTGTTTCGGATTTTGGTATTTCACGTTCCACAGATGTTACTCTCGATATATATTTACCTCTCTTTCACCCATTCTCCCTCTCTTTTTCCCCCTTCCTCACCCCTTTCCTTTCCTCTCGAAAAACCTCATGTGTATTGGCGTAGCATTTTAAATGAATGAAAAATATTGTCGTAAATTTCTTGTTCACTTGTGCCTTATCCTCTTCCTCTTCTTGGCCTTTTGGCTAGTGCAATGCTTTGTTAAGTGTTTTACATAGTTGAGTTTTCCGCTTTTCCCCCGCTTACCGTTACCCGAAACATGTGTGCATCCTAGAATTTTCCTTTTACCTCCGTCCTGCCACCGAATGCCCATAAATTTAGTAAAAGATTCTGGGATCTCGTGGAGAACCTAGAATTAATGCTGCATGAAATCTCAAATTTCTTGGCTGAGCGCTTGAAATACTAAACATCAGTGCTCAAAGAGAGTCATTTAGTGATAAATTCTTAAGGATGTTATCAAGTGGTTTATTTGCTTTTTTTAGAAGGTTCATCCTATTTTTTCCGAGTATTTCATTACAAGTTTTTTTATTTAACTGTATTGATTAGATCAATAAATTAGGGTACCTATATTAAAGCATTTTTATATCTTATTTATTATAAATCTTAACACAATTACTCCGCTTTTTAATTTTTCCATGCACGTTCATTGATTGGAAGACATGCCACTACCAATCCCTTGTTTTTTTAACAAATACATGATTAATCAGCTGCCTGCAGAAGTGTCAGGACACTCAAAGGACATTTTCCAGAGGAGCGAGAAAGGCTGCGATAATGTGTGAAAGCAAACAGTGTAAATGAAAATCACTCAAACAAAAAGCAGATGCGATAGCGAATGAGAGACAGTTGCAAAATTTATGGAAACTGTTAATTGACTGACAGTCGAAAGGGGGTTGAGGGGTCACCAATCGCAGTCCAGAATCCCAATCACCCACACAATGCGGAAAAACTGCAGAGAAAACTTTGCTTTTTTTAACCCATTCCCCGATTTAAATGAAACAAGTGTGGGTGTGTGTGCGGCAGCAGTGAATGTATTTCAACATTTCATGAACTTGTACTGGTTGCAAAACCAACTTGGACATTCGGAGGGAAAGCTGTCAGTTGTCTGAACTTTTCATTCGACTCGTGTCAAAAGTTGGGCGTAAAAACGGGGAGGGAAAATGCGGTTTTCGGGTTTTCCAGGATGAAGGACCACCGGTAATCCTAACTTGCTTTACAGCTGCTCAGTTGATGCCTGAATGGATATTGTGACTCTGGGTTGCTGTGGCTTCAATATTTGTTTACTGAGCCACGCTTGAAATGACAGTCAAAGTAGAGTGGTTGACAAAAAATATCACAATGTAAGTGAATAAGCACACGAGAAAAAAAACATTAAAATGGGGAATCAATAAAAATTATGGTTATTAATACCAAATATAAAACAAAAAAAAATTATAAATAAGACGATTGAAAATTAAATGTCTTTAAACTAATTTAAAAATCGGAGCAATAAAGAAATTTTTGAGGAACTATTTTTTTTTCTGTGTGTATAACCTTCTCTGTTGTATCGACCGTAATTGCTTGCCTTGTCAACCAAATATTTGAAAAGCAATTTGCAATTTTATCGCAACAAAAGATGTTGCAAACGAAAACAAGGAGTGACGAAAAATGGTCAGTAAAATTGAAAGAGGGCCAAAGACAGTCAGCACTTTTCCTGTGATTTACGTTTAATGGTCGAAGTTGAGTTTTCATGCACAGCACAAAAGGTCACACAACATCACTTCCAGTTGTCTAATTTATCTTCAGCTAATCGATGGCAGTAGAATTGGCAAGGATTGTATTCTATTTTAATTTGCATTGAACAGCTTATATAAGTGTCAAAATTTTCGGAAATTTGAAGCTCCTTAAGTTATATTTGCAAGCACTAATTGACATGAAGAAACTGCATTGACGCGCGAGATTTAATTTTTGTTTCATCCATTAACCCCCCAGCAAATTCAATTAGTTTAGTTTTGTCCATTGTCTGCCTTGATTTTCTCAATTTCCCTGCCTGAATTTCCATAATGCGATTAATTTATTGGTATTATTATGCAGACGCATATATTTTTCGAGTACCCCCAAGCACATAATTATGCTTCAACAGCTGAACCATTTTGTGTGCTAATGTGAAAGATTAAATAGGATGTGGTGTGTTTAATAAATCTCTGGGTAAATAAGGTGTATGCTCGCTAATTGCTTTCGGTGGCTGGGCATTGAAACTGAATATTTAGGCAAGAGGAATGGGTAACAGTTGTCGATGATTAATATTGATTTTATTTTAAATCGATTTTGGGATATGAACTAAGGTTTTGAGATATTATTATATTGAAAAATAAAGAAAATGTTTCCACTTACCATTGTGTCCCATGTTAGTGATGATGACCCAGAAATCGATGGTCTTCTCCGGACCCAACTCCTCGTAGTCCCACTTCTTCTTGACTCGCACAGCTCCATTTGTTTCCACCGTCACCCAGGGATTATCATCCCGGATCTTGAAGGTCTCCTTATCGGTTTCCTTCTCCAACTGGAACACCGACTTTCCCTCGGTATCGCCATCAGCCTCGGTGAATTCAATCCGCTTGGTGGGTCGCACAGCTCGGGTAACTCTCCTCTTCTCCCGGTGATGTGAGTGATTATTCACCTCATCGTGTTCCAGGTGTTGCATTATAAACGAAACTGGTTCGGCAGCCAGAAATTCTAACAGAACCTTTGCGGGCTTCGCACTCAACAGGCTGGGATATCTCAGATCGTGGGCTATAACCTCGATAAGCAGTTCATTTGACGTGGGCTCACCGGCCAGCATTATTTCGCCGGTTTGGGGGACAATTATGACCACATTGCTGGGCGACTTAAGCCGATAGGCAATCTTATCGCCATCAGCATCGGTGGCCTCGACTTTTCCCATGATCGCGAATCGCTGGTAGGTCACACTACTGTTGCTTTCCATATTGACTGATTTTTGACCGGCAATGGCGAACTTGTAGTCCAGCGACTTGAAGATCGGCCTGTTGTCGTTTTCATCCAGCACAGAGATCTGTATCTTGGACACTGTCTTATCCAAGCCATCTACATCCGAGGCTTCCACGGAGAGATCATAGTGGGCGCGCTCCTCCCGATCCAACGGACGATTGGTGACCAACCAAACGCCGGACTCGTCATCTCCACTTATCACCAGGGACTTGGCACTGATCTGAACATTCCTATTGGCCTTCCGCTCCTGCAGGGCAAACGCGTCGTCTACGTTGCCATCGATGATGGTGTAGCGCACCTTCTTCGGGGTGGCCAGCTCTTCGTCCAGGATGGAACCACTGAAGGCCTGCATCAGGGGCACTCCTCTCACCCGGGTGCCCGCCGGCTGATTCTCCCTCACCTCACCGCTGGCATCGAGTAGCGACCCGGAAAATCGCAGCATATCGTTGCGATGCATCACGAACAACTGGAGGTTGTGGGTGTTGGTGACATTGGGGGTCTGTTCAACGACCACCAGTTGAACTGGTCGATTGACGAGCGGCGATATGTCCGCCGTGGTCATCACCACACCATCCTCCAGTACCGTGAAGTACTTGGAGTAGTCGCTATCGAGCATGTGATAGGCGGCACCGCCGGCATGCGAGCTGCCGTTTATCCTGACGGGATGGGTTTTGAACTTCTTGATGCTGAATCCAGGATAGGTGTCGTGGGGCAGCACCAAGGACATTTCGCTGTGATGCGACGGCGACTTCTCCACTTCGCCTGGACTGCCGGCCAGCATGCGAGCCGCATTTTCCGCCGAGAGGCCAGCAAATGTGGTCTCTTCGGTGGCCAAAATTAAGGGGAGGGATATCAAAAATATCGCGCAGGTGTATATGTTGAGTCGATTGGTTATATACCGTTGCCTGAGCTCATTCAGGCAACGTCGTGCCGCCATTTTGCCGCGGCACTTTCTGATCCTGTTTGCTATCAACACTTTTTCCGTGACCTTCCCTTTCTATTTGCCTCCTCTTCAGTTGTGGACTTTACACTTAACACTTGACTTATTCATGGGTAAATTCCCTTTGTCCAGTTTCCGCTTTTTTCCACTGCTGATCAATACATATCCATTGTTTTGCTGTGGGTGGCGCAAACTGCAAATAAAATGGGTAGAAAAGAAAATTGATTTGTGGTTAGTAGTAGTTCTCGGTACGGGTAAATATTTATGGGCATTGTGTAAAGTTTATGGGTCATTGAAAGTGAATAATTTATGCTCCAGGTAAATAAATAACATTTGGGCAGCTCTGCAAGGTTTAATCAAGAATGCAGAAAGTTGGTTTTATGCCTGTGTTGACGACGCGGCTATAAATATTTAAATAGGGTGAAATTAATGTAGCTATAATATTTGGGACATGGGTTTTCATAACTAAAGAAGTAAATATATATATTTTTTCAAAATGTATACTGAAAGTACAACTAAAAGTTTTAACTTAAAACTGACAAATTCCCTTAACTCATTGTAACGCTTACATGGTAATTAAACTTTAAGCCTGTAAAAGGAAAATGGAGCCGAATTTTCGAGGCTGTGCCATCATCAGCACCATCACATCATAACCAGCAGCTGAGCCCGAGAAAATTGTCAACTTTTCACTTTTTAATTGCTGTGTGGCAGGCGAGCACCAGACGCTCTCAAAGAACACCGAAAATGTTGCACAAAGCGAAAACTTTTTAATGATATTAGTAAAAATATTTAACATTCAGGCTATTTTGGCAGTGAAAAAAGGGAAACTAGGAGGGGAATGGCAACATTGTCACAGTCTGTTTCCGTCAAGGACATTCCCAGGATGTGGGATTTTCGGTTGGTTTTTGATGTTCCCCCGGCATGCTCTACATAACGCCTCGGCAATTGCATTGTCCTAGGTTCTGGGTAATTTTGTAGAGCTCTTCCATTTCCACCCCCTAAAAATATGTGCCACACATGGCTGGCCTTGAAAAATAAAAATTTCATTGAGAATATTATTTTAATTACCCCATGTGCAACACGCCATGTCTGCCCAATGTTCTCTAATCCGACAATGGCACGCACCCTGTAATTTCGCTACCTAAGAGTGGGTAAGTCGGAAAAAGGTTCTTTCCCTTTCAAGCATTTTTCGAACAGCTGCGCAGGCGCCACTGACTTTTTGGTTATTGACCGTTTCGAATACATCCCAAATGTGTTGACAATAGTTTTATTTGCTTTTTACGCTGTCCCATCAGAGAGGAAGATTTCTGGTCCAACAACTGTAGGGGTGATACAGAGTGGGGGTTATAGTCTGCTAATGATCTTATAACTAGCCTGACTTGTTATTGGGTGTGACCGGAATTCGATGACAAATGATTACATAGGTAATTTCTAATGACTAATGAATAAGGAAATTACACGTGTGTAACAATGGTAAACGCAAAAAAAAACTCCCAGTTATATTAAAAAAAAAGCCTAACGAACCTGAAATATAAAATAATTTTATTTTATAATAAAATCACTCTTGTTTAAATGCTTTAAATTGGCTGTGAATGAATACATGACTACTAAAAATTAGACATCGACTTTTCTACTAATTTTAAATGGTCCCCCGAACCCGAATCACATCATTTAAATTCTCACCTCTTTGGGTTATCGCTCTTGCGGCATCTTAATTGCAATTAGCTATGAAAATGTCCCCAGCAGCCGAGGGAGATAATAAAACGAAAACTCTGGCCCAAATCTGTGCGATCTGCTAATCAGTTGACAAAGTTGACTACCAAACAAATTATTGAAATGCCAGCCATTTGCATAACCCGCTAGTGCCGCTAATAAACCCATAGTTTCGGGGGTAACAAGCCCCGAGATATAAGTCTTATAAATCATTTACAATTTGTTTGGCCAGAAGAAGATCTTTCTACTCGACTTCCAACTGAATTATTTCTTTGTCTTACCTAATTTGATTGGCGGCAGCTTTTCTGCGTGTTAAAATTCATTTGAAATGCCCCCAGTCTGCGATTAATCAAAACACAGCTCAGTTTTTGTCTCTTCAAAAAGTTGTTCTCGTCTTCTTATTTTCCATAGTGTCACTTAATTAAAAGCGAAGATAAAACGCGATACAATATGGTGAATAAAAGCGTTCCTATATGCATAGCTCTACATTTCGGCATAAATGAATATTTGATGCTGGAATTCCGTGTGTTTTATATTTATATATTCAAGCATTCAATTGATTGATGCGTCATGGCAGCCAAAGGGCACGCAAGAGAAAAAGGTAAATGAAATGCATAAATATTTGGAAGCTACGATGAAGCCTCGGTTGATGGAAACGTATCTTTGATTTTGACATAAAGTTCAGTTAGTGAAATCAATCTGGCTTACTTTCTAGAAAGCAGGGATAGGATTTCAAATAATGGTGGAGACAACAAACAAAGCACGAGACACGCCCCCACAGAGCATCACCTTGGGCTTTCCCCACATTAAAGTCATTTAAAATCGATTAAATATCAATGCCAGTAGACCACCTGCCGTGTGTTAGCCCGAAAAGAACTCGAGTGTGAATACGTTGACGAAGAGACATCCAAAGGTGTATTCATGCTCAAGGCGTTGCCGGTTTATTGTTTATTAGACTTTTAAGCGCTGGCAACAGTTTTTAACTAGTTTCAGTAGCAAAGCTCGTAAAAGATCAACGCAGCTGCATAAATTACTGCTGCGGCTGTCCTAAAATTTACTGGATTGAATGACAGCCAAATGTTGACTTATGAAGCTTTAATTGTCTTCGATATATTTGCCTCTCGTTTCGTGGCTTTTTCTGTGCTGTTTGCCAATGGGTCGCTTTATTGATTTCTCCTTTGAATATTACCCAATGGCATGCAATTAAAATTCACATTTTCATATTTCATTTGCTCACTCCTCACCCGCACAAACAAAAGTTGTCGTCATATTTGATCTGACGATTTCTTTGACGCTTTCCACTCAGTTTTATTACCAAAAAGTCATTTTTGTTTTTGGGCCTTTGTTTCTGGCATTCCACTTTAGTAGCAAAGAATGTGGAAATTGAATTTTACGAATCGTTTCGGTCGAATAAAGGTTATTAAATAGTTTTTAATTGCCAATAAATAAAGTAACTGGAATATGAAAGTTTGTAAGTGCAAAGATTTTTCATTTGTGTTTTGAAGAGGTTACTTTAACAACAATATGAATTACATAATTTTAAAGTAAATGGGAAATACTAATTTAATAAAAATCTCCTGGGGTTATTCACCCTTATATTTATGGAAACCCCTCATAAGTCCCCGAAAATGATAACCGTTTACAACTCATTTCCCTAATCAAGGTCAAAAAACGGAGTTCCAAAATTCCCAAAAAAAATATTAAATTAGACATTTTTTACCAGGAACTGCGGGCAACCCCAGAAAATTATGCAAATGAAAGACAAAACGGGGGCTCTAAACAAAAGCCAGCCCTGAATGGAACATGATGAGGGGCTCTAGTCCCTCATGTGCAAGTCCACTTTATCAAAGGCGATGAGACACATTCGACTGGAGGAGATTTTTATTATTGTGCCACCAGAGCGCGTGGCACTCGACACACAACAATGGCCAAAAATCTCCCCTGCCAGGTAGAAATTTGAAAATGAATAGAACGCCAGACAGAGGGGTGAACACACTTCCGATTTTCGATTTTCTCTCCTCGGGAGGGTCGAAAATCAGGTATGTCCCTCCGCTTAATGTATCCGGCCATGGCAACAGAATGGATGACAGGACAGGAGCAAGCAAAGTGCTTCATCAAATATGAAATAGGCCAGCCAAGTGGAGGGAAAACGAATGGGAACGCCAACCAAAAATTGTCATCCACATGGACCCTCCTCTCCTTTCGGGTGACGATGAAAAATTGAGCAGACAATGATTAATTGGCCAGCGCTCGGTTGTTTTGCCATTTAAATTGAAGCCAGGCCGAATAATAAAATACACGAGTAATTTTCAAAGATGAAATTCCCCTGAACTCGGCTGAAACTCATTAAATCGCAGAGTCCTGCGTGTATTTATGGCCTGTCAACACTTTCGCATAAGGATGGCGAGCGGAAAATGACTTCGGCATGCAAATATCGCATTCGGTTTGGTTTCTGGTTTCTGGTCCCCGGGCTATTGTCTCAGACCGAGTCATAAATAAAGTCATTACGCACTCGTCTCTTATTTATGTAGGTTTTTCTTATTCCCCCTCTGTTTTTTTTTGTGCCATGCGCCAAAGGATTTTTGCATGCGATCCAAATATTTGCATATCACAAGGAGCCCGCTTTCAAGAAGCGTAAATACACGGTAGCCAGGTAAGAAAAAGGAGGGAAGTACGGGGCAAATGAAGGCGTGCACACACTCCACGTAAAGAGTAACCCGATACTCCTCCGATGTCTGGCAACAAATTATGTGTTAACACATGGGCAGCGTTTGGTGACACGCCTCCTCGAGACCTCAAGACTGGTTGGTCAGGGAAAAAACAAGAAACCCGCACTGCTAACTGGAATTTAGCGATAATGATAACTCAGGTAGCTGATCACAAAACGCCTGTAAGAGTGCGGGGAATGGGCTGGGCTCATCTGATAATAGCTGGGATGCGTGGCGAGCTTAAGATGTTGGGTAATCATAGCTAAAGTGCTTGCACTTAGAAAAAAACGCTACTATAAAAGTTATAAAAATAATAAATATTATAGTAACAAAAAGTGGTACATTTGGATAAGACAATCCACAATTTTCTGAGCAATTACTTGCAACTTACTAATCATAGCCAGTAATAACATCAGATAACCCTAAGAGCTAATTGCTACCGACCGCAGCTATAAGAATCTAATTCCCAACGAAAACAAATCGAATTTTCCTGTATTTACAATAGTTGGCTTTGCCGACCAGAACAATTGGCCATTATAATGTCATTAACTGGTGCCCTGGAGGCATAAGAAAATTTCGCTTTGTCCGCCTCTTGCCATGTAATAACAATTTTAGTTGATCAAAAGTGCTTTTTGGCTCGCAGCGTACCGAATATTGCCGAAGCTTTTAAGCAATTAAATGTAGGACCTGCAGTTCCGTCGATGAAAGAGAGGTGGAAACCCTTTTGTTGCCGTCTTGGTTCCCGGAATTCACCGGGGAGAAATTAACTTTT